TATCAGATTTATGGTGTTGTGGTATTTCTGAGAGGCTTGCAGCAGTGAACAGTGCTACACTGTACAAGCTACTGTACAGACATGCAGTTGACAGACAGTCCCTGCCCTAAAGAATGAGGAATGAGGTACAAGATACAACAGGCAGATGAAGCAATGGAAGATGTAACCATTCCTGCCCACTCCAACTCTCTCAGGTCTTGAACCAGGGGAAATGGAGGCTGCAACTGCAAATGAAGATGCTTTCACTTGAGAAGCATTTTTCTCTAATCAGCAAAAAATCTGATAAATTTCACTACTCACCATGAGCAGGCATCCAGCAAAAACAGTAAATCCCTTTGCATGAAGGCATTTTGCCAAGGCATGTCCAAAACCTTTGTCACAGCCTGTTATTAGCACCGCCTTCCCTTCAGCCTGTGTGAGGAAAGACAGTCATAGGATACCATTAGACATTGCAATGTAGGCACCACCAGCACCCTGCCCCACAGCACAGAAGTCACTTGCAGTCCTGCAGACAGGGCAGGTACAATTCCAGATGCAAGTGACAGTGGCACCTGTGTGCACAAACACAACCAGCTTGCAACTACTGTGAAATGATGCATTTATTCAGTTGCTGGTCTGTAACAACTTGTGTTGCCTCAATACCTGAGCTGGAACAATAACTCTTTCTTTCAAGTATCAGTGGCCAAAGCAGAAACATCTCAAAAGAAGTTAATGATCTACCAGTTCATAGTAAGAAAAAGGAGCATTGAGAACATCCAAATGGCAGGATGTCACTGGCTTGAACTGTACAGCAGCTCTTTTAGCTGCTGAGTGACTGCTGTCTGTTCCCCATCCACTCCCACTCTATGCGGCACTTTCCATACTGTATTTTAGCACACAGGAATGTGACTCCAGGTTAGAGCTTCCTTCTGAAACTCTGCAGTCTTAAGACGAACAACTTATCAAATCCTACGGTTCTCTCCTACATTATTATTATCTTTTGACTGACAGGTAAATTGAGAAGGAAGATTTGATACTCCATCTGGTATGACACAACAGGCTTGAGATAGATATGAAAGCAGAATACCAAATCCTGAAGATAAGCCTATAGCAAAACACTGCCCATTCACCCTCTGTCTTTTCTTGAGAGTCATCTCCTCACCACAGGTGTGAAGCAATGAATTAACACTTAACCCAGCTAGAAGGCTGCCAACTGCTGTGCTGCACAATGCTCCAAACTGAAACCATATCCATGAGGCAATAGCATGATAAAGCAATAAAAATCCAGAGGATGCAATAAGGAAGTGAGTTCCATTTCTCTGGAGATATTGGTAACTAATATTGCCTGTTACTGTATTCACAACAGCTGGAGTATGAACGTGCTTATGTATGAATTGCACTAGCTGGTCCAGCCATATTTTCAGAGGAAAATGGGTCAATCACAAGTACTCTCTCATCTCTTGCTTTGCTGACATGTACTGTAATGAAGCAGCAATAAGGGATGATTGCAGGGTGATAGTGATCAGAGCATTACTGCACAAACTCAGGGTGAGTCTCAGCAGAGAACAATAAGCAAATGAGCTACACCCTGTCCTATAACTCATGTTGAAGTAACTGCTCTCAAAGTGGAGGTAAGAGCTGAAGCTGAAACAAAAACTGATCAAAAGTCTGTGCTGCATTTATGATACAAACACCCACATTAACATTATACTATAACCTATACTTAGACAAAGAGCACCCAGATACAGACTAGCTCTGTTAAAGCTCTAAAGATAGCTACAGCTAAAGGACAAAAGATAAGTGAGAATTAAATATACAGTGCTCAGTCTGAATTTAATTTAGAGTGACACAACTCCAAGAGAGATGAAAATCAAACAAGAACCGGATCACAGAAGTTGTCAAGGTCACCTCCCATGAGAACTCAACAAGCTGGCCCGTGGAAAAAGAAAGGATTTGACTTTCTTTTTCTCTTTCTCTCACCTCACTAGAGCCCTTGCCCCTGAATCTTGAAGGCAAAGGACTTCTCAAAAGAGCAGGAAGTGTGCAGGAAATGGGCAGTGGTAATCACTTCCAGAAGACAGTCAGGCAAACAAAGAAGATACTCAATCTTCAACCATCATTAGCTCCTTTAAAAAAAAAAAAAATCCCCAAACAAACAACCAAAATGTAGACAGAAATGAGGTTTAAAAATCCTCTCATCTGCCTATAATAGCAAGGAAAGTGAGGGACCACTTCAAGTATTAAAAGGATCCTGTGATTGTAATTTGCTGTAACCCTAATTGCTGGTAATAAAACACGTGACTATGGCATCATGGCTCATAACAGATGGAGGCCACAGCAGCACCAAGGAGCGTGCAAAATCCCAAGGGATGTACTGGATCTCACATCTGTACCTGTGCCTGTTTGTGCCATGCTTGATGGACAGAGAACTCCCAGGGATGACAGCAGGGATAAATCCTATTCCCAGCCAAAAGGATCCTATCCCAGAAAAACTTCTGAACACAGAAAAGCCCAATCACCCTTGTCTTTTGAAAGTCCTGAGATAAGGCTTAATCTGCCTGTTCCTGAAGTTTGATAAGGTCAATCTGCAGCTTAATTTGACTCAATGCTGGGACAGGCAGAGAGGATCAGTTATCAGCACAGTGACCTTAATGAGCATTCTGAGGAACTTCCGGTGCCTCCCTCACTCGGGGTCATACCGTGCTCCCCAGAAACACTGCATGGGAGACAGCCCTCCAGTGCTGACAGGCTACCTGGGATCTGCTAAGAGCACAGAATAACTTCTTGTACCACAGGTGCTGCTGTGGCTTGTGGGCACAGTAATACTGTCTATGCCTGCTGTGTGATCCACAACACTATTCCTCACAGTTCAGGCAGCCCTAGCAGGTCAGCCTTATGTTGACCTGCAGCCAGCTCAGTGGTACACAGCTTTTCCTATTGGGATATGGCTAGTTCACTAAATAGTAGAATTTATTTTACTAATGCTGTTGATCTATCAGAATTATACATATTTACTGCAGAACTTACTAAAGAAATTGAAGCTACTTTTTCAGCCTGTCTTTCTAGACAACATGGGAATATGGCATGCTTACCCAGAATTTATATTTTCCTAATGTGTCACTTTTTTTTTTTTGATCCTGTTCCCTTTTATGGCTCCCCTGACCAATCCTCTGATGTTATCAAACAGATTGATTTTAGGATAAGGGCAGCTACAAAGTAAACATGGCGTATTCCTTTTTCCAGGGCTGGGAAAGTTGAGGTTTTATATCCCAGGAAAAATAACTGAAAATATTCACTAAAGGGAAGGTATTTTCTCAAGTGGAACAGGGATAGGGAAAGTAAGAGATGCAGAGTGGATGGATGACTGAAGTAGGAGGCTGCAATCAGACTACAGGTGTTATCTGGCCATTCCAGGAGGAAGGATTGAGCTGGAGGTCCTGAAGCAAAAACAATGTCTCTGAGAGCAAGTCATATCCTGGGCATCCAAAGCAGCATAGACAGCAGGTCAAAAGAGGTGATTCTCTGGTGAGACCCCACCCGCAGTGCTGCATCCAGCTCCAGGGTCCCAGCACAGGAAGAACATGAACCTGTTGGAATAAGTCCAGAGGAGACTACCAAGATGATCAGAGGGATGGAGCACCTCTCCTGTGAGACAAGGCTGAGAAAATTTAGATTGTTCTGCCTGGAAAAGGCTTTGGGGTGACCTAATTGTGGCCTTCTACTACCTGAGGGAAGACCATTTACAAGAGCATGTAGTGACAGCACAAGGGGGAAAGGGTTCAAATTGAGAGTAGGTTTAGATTAGATATGAGGAAAAAAGTCTTAACTGTGAGGGTGCTGAGGCCCTGGCACAGGCTGCCCAGAGAAGCTGTGGATGCCCCATCCCTGGAAGTTTGCAAGGCAGGGCTCTGAGCAACCCGGTCTAGTGGAAGGTGTCCCTGCACATGGCAAGGGGTTGGGATTGGAAGATCTTTATGGCCCTTTCCTACCCAAGCCATTCTGTGATTACATGAGCACGTTCCCCCTCCAAGTGGAGCACTGCGGGGGGGAGCAGCCGCCGCACCGCGGGGTCCGAGGGCAGTGCCCGCCGCACCGCGGACCGGCCGAGCCTCTCAGCGGGGACCTCATCGCCCTGGGCCGTGCCCAGCTCGGCGCTTCGCCCCCCTCACAGCGTCTGTCCGGCTCCACCAGTCCAGCCCGATCCGGGTAGCGCCGCTCCGGCCTCGACACCTGCAGCGCCTCAGCCCGGCCCGGCCACACGGCCCGGCGCCATTTTGGGCCTCGGGGCGCCTCCGGCGGCTCTGCCGGCGAGCCCCGGCCCCTCACCGCGGTACTCACGGGCAGGGCGCGGCGGGCCCGCCGCGGCAAGAGCAGGAGGAGGCGGAGGAGCAGCACCCCCGCAGCACCCAGCGCCAGCAGCAGCCCCGCGCCGCTCCGCATGGCCGCAGCCTATCGCCGCCGCCGCCCCGGCCCTGCCCCCGGCCCGCCTCCCGCCGCGCCCGGCACCGCGGCCCCGGCCCAGCCTCATTCAAACGGCAGCAGCGCCCGGCGCCCGCCGGCTCCAGGTAACGCGCGGGCGGCCGCGGGGCGGGCCGGGGTGGGTCGCGGCGGCCCCGCGGAGCTCTGGCAGCCGGGTCGCAGGGTGACCTTGCCCGCTGGGGGCGGGGGGCGCGGGCGTCTCCTCTGCGCGGCCTCCCCCGCAGGCTCCACAAGCCGGGGCGGCCGCCCCGGGCCCCCGGTGCCTCGGCCGGACCGTGAGCGCCTTTGGGGCCGCGGCAGCCGCGTCCCGGAGAGGGGCTGGCCCGGGCCGGGTCGGCGGGACCTGCAACGGACCTCGGGCCTCGCCCCCTCCCTGCACACCTCACAAAGACCTGCGGGGACACCAACCGTGCTCCCGAACTTGTTCAAACCATCGGGATTTCTAAGGATTAGCCGAGCCAGCGAGCCTCCTGAGCCCTGTCCGCTCCCTCCCTCTCCATCTCTCAGCGGTGCTCACCGCTGCTCTTTCTGCGGTAATCTCACTGTTTTTCAGCCCAGGCCTGGTTTCCAGCAGGCCCCGAAGCTGCCGCGGTGGCGGCCCAGCCTTCGGCAAAGATGCAAAATACCCCTAACAAATAGATACCCTTTCTCAGCTTCAATAAGTGGGCTGGGAGATGTTTTTTGTACCTTGGGTTAATTTTATCCAAGATAAATATGATTGAAGTTGTCTTTCGGTACCAAAGTCTTGTCCTTGAGATGTTTTCACTCGGTATTGAGTTTATTGGTGGTTCCCTGTGTTTAGTCCAGCATCACCAGCTACTTAATTACAAAAAATTGTATTTTTAACTGCATGGCTGTACTAGCTGTAAAGCCAAGGATTGCTTTGGAAACATATGACATCATCTCTGACTTGAAGGTATATTTTTGTTTAGAGTTATTTCATATAGTTCATTTGAAATAATGTATTCCGTATGAGTACCTTAATTTTTACCTGTTTCAGAGAAAAAGATGTTCCATTAAAGATGCATTGAAGAAGGAGAAAATTACTTTTTCTTTAAATATCTCCTTGCTTGGTAGTTTACTTATAATGCTTTTTTCTTATTTAAAGGCATCTTGGGTGGCTGAAGGTTGAGCTGTTTATCTTTGTGTGAGGGACTGCAAGGGGTGAAGATGAGTTCCTTTGGACTTTATTTTACTGTTGAAATACGTGGAGTCAGCACGTCTTACAAAATAATTGAGCAACTAAAACAGAGGTGTTACCTTATGTTGCAGAGCTAAGGAAGAGCAGTTTTGCTTTTGGTAGAGTGTGCCAGTTGAAAACATGTTGGCCACCAAGCTGTCCCGCCCTCTCTTGAACTTCTCTGTGAAAGCGCTGAATTTCAAGGACCCAGGGAATGTCTTTAGGTAAGTAACTTGGTGGAAAAGAGAAAAGAGTGACATCTTGAGTAAAGCACACGTCAGAGACTCACTTGATTTCAGTGGGACAGTTTATTTACAGTCACAAGGTGGTTGAGGTTGGAAGGGACTTCTGAAGGTCATGTGGTCCAACCACCCTGCTAAAGCAGGGCTTCTTTGAGCTTGTTGCCCAGAACTGTGTCCAGGTGGCTTTTGAGTATCTCCAAGGATGGGTGCTCTAGAACCTGCCTGGACAATCTGTGCCAGTCACTGAGCTGAGCACAGCAGAGATGGCCTCTGTATGCAAAGAGGGGTTGGCAACATGGTGTTTTTGTTGTTTTGGTTTTTTTTTAATGCTGCAGTCAATAAATTGTGGAGTAGAGCATTAATTCAGCATCCATCAAGAGGATTTTTTTGATTATCAGCAAGCAGGCCTTGCTTCAGTGCAAGAAACTGTCATATATTTCTGTGACTTCATTAAAGAGGCAGTGAATCCCATGAAAAGAGAAAGTTGAGAGGGAAGGTTTTACTGAGAAATGGAGGTGGGCTGAGTAATTAAGCTGTTTTTTTTTTCTGCAAATGAACAGAAAGTTGCCTATCTAATTCTAATTCCTAGCTCTGAAAAAACCCCAACATTTATATTGCTGTATGATTGGACCCCTATTAGTCCAAATCCAGAGCAAGTTGAATGCTTTCTCTGGCTTTGTTTTAGAGTGGGGTTTCCAAACATCAGTGTGTGTACCACTAATTGTACATAAACCATTTAAAAGTAGCTCATGACCTGTTAAACAAAAGCTGCCACCTCCAGTGTTGCTCTACTGCTGCTGATAGTGATGTCCAGCATCATCACGGTCAAGGGTGGCTCTGGTAACAGGCTGTTGTAGATAGCTAAGCTGTTAAGAGATTTCCTGTGCAAACAGACATAGGTCTTTATCACCTGTTTGCTCCACATACACCAGAGTTCACCTGCAGGAATCTGCTGTGGCCTTAAAAATACAAATTAATGTTTTCTTAACTTGAGGAAAGAATTTTCAGCATATTCTTGTTTTTTTTTTCTTCTGTCTTCTGTTTTGCTTACTGTGTATTTGTGCTTTGTGTGTCTTGTACTCAGGGCAAAATTGTGTTGCATTTGCAAGTCCCCGCAATTGCTAAACCTGCAATAGAAATCCAACTGTTCATTGAAAGGCAGTGCTGCCATTATACCAGTGTCTTAATGCACTGAAGCAGCATTTATGTACTTGACTCTTCAAGCTGGGGACTCCTTTTTTTGCTGGAACTGAACAAAAGCATGATTACAAAAGCACAAATTCAATTTGAGGACCATCTGTGCATTCTAAAAGTCTCTGTTGTGGTCTCTAGAATTCAGTGATGCAGAATGACAAAATTGGCTTATGGTGCATTAATGTACCATGTGGGGGCTCACATCACTTCCTGGCTGTTTCTGCTGATGACGTTCCTGCTCAGCACCAGCCAGCATCTGTTTTTCTTTTGACATTGCCTTCAGGTCAAGATAGGCAGAATGTCAAGTAGATGTTCTCTACAGATTATTGTGAATTGAGTGCAGCAAATCAGTGTTCTGCAGTGAAATAACAGGGCCAAACATGACACTGAAAAATAAAAAACAAGTTAATTCAACTAAAAGAAATGTTATGAACATTTCTGGGCACTTTAAGACACACCCAAGAAACTTACTGTTGAGGTAGAGTTTCAATCCAGGATTGCAGGTCAGTGATGTTAACACACACTTTGCCTGGGGACTGACCTTTGCAGCAATTAAGTTGGCTATAGCTATTTCAAGAGCTGATTTGGCTTGTGACACTCTAAGTTAGAAAAACGGCTAAACTGTTTCAGGAAGGTGAGTGAACACCATTGCCTGAATATGTCATCTCCTTTCCCATCTGGTTCAAAGCTTTTGCCTTCATAGATACCTTGATTTCCCGAGATATGGCTCAGAGGCCAGTGTCTGCAAGCTGCTGTGCAGTATAGCAAAGGTCACCCTGGGAGAGCCTATGATGTCTGAACTGGAGATACTTGTGAATGATTATGCAAATTTATTTAGAAGACAGAAAAGCAGCCTGCAAGATAAGCTTTGGGAAGGATAGATACTGTTGGGGGAGCCATAAGATCGATAAAGTTCAGCAAGTCTAAGGGAAGGCCAGAAAGCTCCAGGAGAGCAATGTCAGTGCTCAAAGCGAAAATGAAAAAGTTGGTAAAGTCCAGAGAGGTGACTGGCAAGGACATAGCTTGGGGTCACTTTGATTTGTTTTTCAGGCCCAGTTTTGATGAATGATGGCAAGGCTTAAGACAGAGTTATGCTACTGGGTAACATAGCTTTTCTAAATCGAATCTCATTTCTGGAAGGCATTGTTGCTTTGCTCTAGTCTGTCTTTGTGAATATGTTTTGTCTTCTGAGATTCACATACTATGCGGAGGAACTTCAGATCTGCATGGCAGGTATTGCTCAAAGACAGTGTTTCTTAGCTTAAACGGTTGCAAAAAGGGGATGTAAAATCTGGAGTATCTAATGGGTCGACACTGCAGGGAAAGAAGTGTTATCCAGGATGAAGTATGGATGGAGCTGTGTGTAAAAGGAGTGAGACAAATCCAAGCAATTCAGCCTCAGACTGGGTGTCAGAGACAAAGCCACAGCAGAATACTTTCATCGGACAAATTAAAAACTTCCCATACCCCAACTCTGTGCAAATCTTAAGTGAGGGTGTTGTTGCTTTTAAAAATGCAAACACTGCACTGCGTGTTTTGTGGGTGGAAGCAGCTCTGTACCTCTAGACCAGGAGCTATTTTAGAACACTTTGTAATACCCAGACAGCTTCTGCAGCTGGAAATAGCATCAAGGTCTTTGGAGTAACAAATCTGTCATACTGTAGGCTCAGACTAAGGAGAAGTGTAGACTAGATTCTGTCTTCCCAAATGACAATCTACATCATGTATGTAGGCAGCACTACATTCCTTTTCATGTGTATGTTGCTGCAGCAGGGTATGGACAAGATATTCCACATCTGACTGTTCTGTTGTTTTGGGTTTTCTTAACAGGCCCATGCAAAGATTTTCCTTCCCTCTCTTGTCCCCATGTGGCAGCCGCTCTTATGCAAATGAAGTCGATCAGGTGAGTATGACTATGGCTTCCAGGAACTGGTTCTGCTGAGCAGGGATTTTAAAATCCCTGAAGTCTGGTGACCAAACTCATCTTTCTAATTTGCCTGAAAGACTCCAAGCTGGACCTCTCAAGCATACTCCACATTCTTTCCTAGCACCGAGCTTCCATTGACGTAGCACGGTATGTGCTGCTAAGGATGGAAATAAACAATCACACGAGTAGGTTTTTCCTATTTTTGGAACTCACTCAGCAGATTAAATGTTCTACCTTAGAGCGGAGGGAATCTGCATGACAAATTCTTAATAAAGTACTCTGTCTGGAGTATAGTTTTTTAAAGATATGTAAATAAATCAGTGTGTCCTCACCACTTCATCTGGAGAGTCGCCCTTTTTAGCAGCCCTCTCCTTGGAGATACTGACTTGCCAGGAACAGTGCCAGGCAAAAGGAAAGGGAGTGTCATCTTGTCTGTCTTGTGGCACAGAACTCAGCACTGTAGTGGTGCTAGAGCATGCACAAATTGCACCATAACTCTGGAACAGAGTTTTGGAGGAACTCAGATGTCATCCTTGCATCACTGCTGGGCTTCCAGTGTGAGGAGCCTTTGCTGCTTCCACCCAGCTTCCACCCTGATCAGTCCTTGAGTATGCTGGGGAAAGCCAAATTTATAGTTTTAAAAGAGATGAGTCAGAGTGAATTGCAGGCAGTTATTATGTAATCCCACCCACAGTAGCACCTTGGATGTACAATTGTTTCTGTTGGGCTGTCTGATGCACCATCTGATTTTTTAGCTTGTTATTTAACTGCTGCCTGTCTTTGGGTTAGAAAAAAGAATTTGGTGAGGGAAGGAGGTATACTTCTGTTTAAATTCTAAGTTGGAAATGTAGGAAGACCAAAAAATCCCGACCAGACAAAAAGAGTGATGACCAACTGGTCTCAATTTCATATATTAACCCCACTTGAATCTTCTTAGGTCTTAGAACCCAGCTCTAGAGGGCTTAGGTGCTCTAGAGATAAAGATGAGTGGGTAGTCAGTAAGATTAAAACATATCCTTTCTTCACTCCAACTGTCTTTTCCATGCCCTAAGGGCTGCATATGCACAAGAGTGGACTCCTGCCTGTTTTGAACATATAGGAACAGTTCCTGATGAAGGGAAAATGTGTCTTGGGAGTGGTCTGGTATATTTTCAGTTTTCAAGGTGCACATGAACTGCCAGAACATGGTGGTTTGCTTGGTCTGTTTGCCTTGGAAGCCTGTTGCCAGAGGTACTGAACTCCATGCTGGGAGGGTGGTGACCCTGCCTCACTGGAGTGAACTCAGCATGAAAATGTCATTTCTTGTATTCAGGAGGCACTGGGTGGCAGGAGCTGGCATTGAGTGTAGAGAACATCCCTGGAACAGACTGCTCCTGGCCAAGGACATGACTTATTCTGTGTGCTGCAAACCACTAATTTCAAATACTCAATTCCAGTGCATTTTGTTCTGTTTTGTTTTGCAGATTGGCAGCAGAGCTGTGCTTATAACAGGCTGTGACTCAGGATTTGGATTTGAGTTGGCCAAGCACCTGCATGACAAAGGTTTCATTATTTATGCTGGCTGCCTGCAAAAGGTAGGGAAAACAAAAGCTGTTCTCCACCTGTGGCATGTGCAGCAACACATAGCAACTCCAATCTTCCCCCTCCACTCTGCACAGCTTTCTGCCAAGGAGAGGGAGGGTGGTTGGTAGCCCAAAAGGGAAAGACACAGGTGCTTGAATTTCACAGAGCAGAACCAGGACTGAATGGTATCTAGAGAGGTTCTTATTTAAATCACAGCATCATGGTCTGTTCCATGGCTGGTGAACTGGAATCCCAAATCTAATTTTATGGGCGTAACTGTAAGCAAAGTTTGATGTCAGGCTGTAGTCTGGACCTTTCACCCTGCTCTCAGACTGTATATATTTATGAAGGGCTTATTTTGATTAATTTTGCCATAAAACCAAGCTGGCAGTTATTTTATGGCATGTGTTTTGAGCATAGTTTCTACATTCATGACTACAGCCATACCATGGTGTGTATTGGGGGGGTCTCCTGAAGTAATGGGGTAGGTGATGGAGTCCCACTAGTGGAAATGAGAGAAGAATCAGGCCACAAACAGCTTAGTGACACAGCCTTGATATGCTTTGCAGGAGAACTTGGTGTGGCAAAGCATTGATGGTCATGGAGAACAGGAGGGAGTTTTAGCCTCTCTCCGTATGAAACCCTGCGCTTTTTTTTTAGCTGCACAGCCATTTCCTAACAGAAACAAACTTACTCCTCAGGATATCCTGAGGTGCGTCAGTTAGTTTGATCTAATCTTTCAGCTCACTCATAGCTATAAATGTATCTTTAATAGTGATACTATTTAGAGAGAATTTTCCAGGTATTCTTTAATGTTACTCGACTTTCTCCTATTTTTTTTCATTATTACAAAGTTTTGCTTAAATTAGAAGTTTGTTTCTGCTGCATTTTTTCAGAAGAGGTGTCTGTCTTGATAGCTCTGTGTCTTGTGTCTCAGTGTTCAGCCAAAGATTTGTTAACCTGGGCTCCCTCTGCAGGCGTCACAGCAGAACAGGACACTTGGTATGAGCTGCTGCCTTTCAGAAGGGCTCAAGACAGAGGGTAGATGAGTACTTTTTTGATAGATGTTTCTACTCAGCTTTTGTAACTGAAGATCAACATTAGAGAATATAAGAACACTGCAAACTTAAAAAAAACCTGATTAGAGTAATAGCCTGCCTCTATATTGACAGAAGCCAAAAACTTCAGAGTTGCAAAGTTAGTTACGGGTTTCATTTTTTCTCTCTGAGATTCTAAAAAGGCACAATTTTCAGTGGACATATATAACAGTTTCTTAAACCTCCCTTCTATTTTTGTTGTCTTCAGTATTTGTTCTCCTGAATGCATGTTAGTGGAAAATCTTGGCCTCTGACAATTTCAACATAAGCTGACATGCAGCAGCATGCCAGAAGTCTTTTAGACTTTGATCAATATTTACTTCCTCACAGAAGAATCAGCAGAAAGCTTTGCAGTATCACCCTGTAATTAAATATTGCTTCTTTAGCTGAACTCACATGCCATGTTCCAAAATCTGTGTGGCCTTGCCAAGAATGGTAACAGCAGTTGTCATCAGAAAACACTGGAAAATGCCAAAACTCCTCGGTTAGCTGAGTGGCCTCCTGTGTGTCTTCAGGCCATTATCCTTTCTGTAGACAAAAACAATTGCAGGAGACTGAGCTGATTTTTCACTGTGCTACAGGCTTCTCTAGCAAAATCATAAATAGGATTCTGATCAGAGTCTATTATTGCTGGTGCTGATTTTAGGAGCAGAAAAAGCTTGGTGTTTTTAGATGCTAGGTAAAAGTGGAGGTAGAAATAAGGAACGTAATCTTTGGCTTGGATATATTTGACCTAGCTCTGACATAGAGGAAATGACTCTGAAACTTCAGTGTCACTTCCATGGGTTTGTTTTTCACAGCACATCTGCACATCAGAAGCAGACTGCTTCTTGGGGAGCCACTGTGTCCTCAGGACATGCACAGTCTTAGGAATGCCATGTCCTTACTGCAGATTAAAAGTATATGCAATGCTGACTCTTTATTAGGAAAGATTTCCTAAAGTGGCCAGATCCTGAGCACCTACCTAACTGTAATTTTACTAAAGGAAACAGGATTGAGGAGTGTAGAGTCATGACTGAGGGGAGCCCAAGGACGGATCTGTGCTAATAGTGTGCTGTTTCACACACAATTACTTCCTAAGCTTTTCAGTGCCAAATATACTCATGTGAGAGTTGTGTTGATGCTGCATTGCCAAAAGACAGTGGTAGACTGGAACCAATGAACGCTCATGCTGCAGCTGTTTTATTTTTAGCTCTTTGGTTAATATATGGAGAAGCCAGCTGACACAAGATGAAGAAGGTATTTTTCCATCAGTATCTGTTACCATTGGACATATGTGATGTTTGTCTTTGCTGTCAGGAGTGTGATGGAACCCCTGTTTGCTTTGCTGTGTATGCTCAGGCCTGTTGCAGCTTGCAGGCGAATGAGAAGGCAGAGGTTCTCTGAGGAAGCTGGCACACAGGCTGGCCACTGCAGGGCTCCATGGGAGTCTTCAGAGCCACAGGGTGTTAGAGACCAAGGACACACTGATGAAGATACAAGCTGAAGCCCAGGAGCCCCAGAGAGTGACCATGGAGAGAGGAAGGCAAGGCAGCAATGTGCTTTTTGAGTGTGCAAGGGCCGGGCCCTCTTGCCACAGGGACAGTGTGCCCTGGGGCTGGCAGCAGAGATGTGCTGGTCTCCTGTTGTAGCATGAGAAGATCCTTACACTGCTATGTGTGAGCTGTGTATGGGCCTGGGGATTGTGAGACAGGCTGCATCCCCTGCCAGGAGACACAGTCACCAGGTGCCCAGCTTAAACCATCTGCCCTTGCTGAAAGCCAAAGGAGTGGGCTTGCTGGTGTGGGTTAACATCCGGAGTCCAATTCTTGGCCAGGATCCCAGCCCCAGGAGGTCCTGTCCAAGTACCCATCTGTGTGTGGGTGGGAGGGCAGGAGGGAGCTGACTTTCAGAGCCAACCTTGTCAGGGTTGAGAAAGAAGATGCTGTGGAGGTCCCAGCAGAGCTATGAAGTCTCTAAGGCTGGTAAAGCGCAGAGATTTTGTAGGGCCTCATAGAACTGGGATCAGGGAAAGGACCTGGCCTCATTTTCCTTCTTTCCTTTATTATATCTGCTGTTTTCAAGAGACTTGCATGTTTGCATTTGCTGATTCCCTGATGGCATTCCCACATTTGTCACTTGTATGCTTTCCAGTGCTTTGCCATATAAACTGCTTTGGCATCAAACTGCACATGAGACTTCTAACACTCCCTTCTGTAAGCAGTGTGCTTCCCTAGAAGAGAGAGCAGTAGATGCCCTCTCTTAAGGACAAACACTAACTGGTGTTAACAGTCTGTGATGGAATATGGAAGCATGGAGGAGAAGACAGGAGATGTTGGATGGTTACGTCAGTGAAATGTCTCTGAACATTGTATATAAGTGCAGGAATGAGAGGAACCAGGAAAAGGGTTTTTGGAAGATACATGGCAGAGAGATGGGGTTGTATGGCCTCTGAAGGGAACTCTCATGTGAGGGACAGATGGGCAGCCTGGGCTCAGACTGCAGACAAGCTCCATTTCATTGACCATTGCCTGCTGGCATCTGACAGGGAGTGCCTGTGGCTTGAGGTGTACAGAGCAATCTGATGTCATTCAGCAGTCAGGAAACAGGCCTGCTATGAAGTACTGGCCTGTTCCAGCTCAGGAACTCACTGGCCATTTTACACCATAACCTCCCAAGCAAGTTGCTGTGGCCTGTGTCATGCCAAGTGAGGATGGCACCGCATGCCCACCACTGCAGTAGTGGGACAAAGTTTGGCCTCAGGAGCTCGTACTGGGCAGTGAGTGCTTGCTGGGTGCCTTGCTGCAGCAGATTCACCTCTGGCTGCTTTCTTGGTGGTTGAAACAGTTTGTACCAGCTGACTTGTTACAGGGGTCATGGTCAGATGGAGATGCTTGAGGAACGGTGTTCTGCAGGATCAATTCTGTCTGCTCCCCTTCTTCCTAGGGCTGCAGGACTGTCCTGAATATTCTGTGACTGCTCTGTGCACTCTTTTGCTTGATTTGAGAGTTGGTATGTGTTTGATATTCTGCACAGGCTCTTTAGCCAGATTGAAACCAGCACTTTCTTCCCCTCTAGGACAAGGGAGAGGGTGGCTCCAAGGAGCTGGATGCCATGAAGAGTGATCGAATGAGAACTGTCCAGCTCAACGTCTGTGACAGCAAAGAAATGGACCGGGCAGTGGAGCATGTGCAAAACAGCCTCGAGGACCCAGAGAAAGGTGTGTGTATGCAATGGGCTCTGAAGGAACAGAGGGGGCAGGAGTTCTCTTGGCTGGGCTCTGAGGGCATTGTCAGGGCTTATTTCAAAAGCTGAGCATGTGATTGAAGGACACGAATCTTTGAGGAGCAGCAGGGCAGAGCAAATGGCCTGTTTGAATATTGTACCATATCAGAAAGGAGCTTCCCACTTCACACAGTGTCTAAAAAGGAAACTGCTTTGTTTTCTGCTAGCTCCTGTAGGGACATTGGCAAAAACCAGAGTGGTGTTCAAGGCTCTGGGATTAGTGCTTTGTTCCTGTGAACCGAAGTTTATTGTGACTCCTTTTCTGCCATAAAACCTGCCCAGTATCCAAAGATTGTGAGTTAACAATGGAAATGTCTCCCCCACCCTTTCAAAAGGCAAAGGAAATGAAGAGGTTTTCCAAAGAATTTCCCATGAAGCTGGCTGGGTATCATTAATGCTATTGTATATACTACGATTTAAAGTTCAGGGGGTAGCTGTACTGATTTTCTTAGCCTGCCTACTTCATTCTGAGGTGATGACAGCAAATTCTGTGAAAGTATTGTGAAAATTGCCTTTGCTCATACGTTTCTGAAGCCTTTCCATCCTTTGAAATATGTTTTTCTCCTAAAGGATATCCACATTCAACACAAGGTTGTTTTAAAGCAGAACAACTGGTAATGTTTTGGTTTGGATTTTGCAAACCAATTTTTTTTTAAATTTTCTTTGTATTTAATTTTTATCTATGGATCTTCTATATAAATTAAGTTTTCTAGCTCTGTATTGTCAAGCATAGGCCAGAATGAAGTTGCCTTTCCTGGACTTCTTCTGATAACACAGATCTGGACACAGTCAGTCAATAGATAAGAGTGAGTTTTTCTAAACAACAGACAGAAGTCTTTCTCAGAGTTTCCTCAGCATGTTTCCTGTCCAATTAGAATATTATATGAAGTGAGTTAATTTTATTCAAAATTCCTTTTTAATCTTTCTTTTTATTGCCAAATGAGTAGTCTTCAGTTGTTGTCATTTTGATTGCAGCAGAATAAAAGGGAGAGGCAGTGGCACAAATGCTCACCCATGTTTACACCCTCCTTCCCAGCACTGCAGACACTCTAGTTCTTACGGTGACAGAAGGGATTTTACTTTGAAAGAATTACCCTCTTGTTTCTTACAAGATCATTCCTATTTATTTGCATTATCTATTTTGCTTCTTTTCAAAAATCATGATGGATAAAATAAGAGTGACAAGGAGAACAGCTTAGACGAGGCTGAAGTTCTCTGTTTGATAGCTCAGAACTTCCTGGGAAGCCTCATTTGCAGTACTTTGTGGCTGCGGTGTTGGGTGGTACAGGCCGATCTCCAAGGTGGTTATATTTGCCCAGGAGACTGAAGTGCTCTCTGGACTCTCTTCTATCTGGTTTTCACTATCACAAGTCGTAATGAAAAAGCTCTGTTGTGTGGTTCAGTAACCTATTAGCACAACTAATGGTGCTTGATTTTGTCTTGTAGGTCTCTGGGGGCTGGTTAACAATGCTGGGATCTCCACATTTGGGGAAGTTGAATTCACCAGCATGGACACCTACATGGAGGTAGCTGAAGTGAACCTGTGGGGGACTGTGCGAACCACCAAGGCTTTCCTTCCGCTCATCCGGAGGTCAAAGGGTGAGTGACAGACCGCCTGACTGGCTGTCCCTGTAGCAGGTTCCTCATCCTGTCGCATCTTGCTATGTTAGAGACCAGAAGGTCTATGGCACTTCTCTCTGTACCATCTGCCACCTTCCTGCCTTCAGAGACAGAATGTGGTCCCCAGAAGACACATGGATTGCCTCACCTCTCCGAGTTACACAGCAAGGCAGCAGGCCTGAAAACCAGTTATTTCTCTTTTCCATAAGTGCTGCCTTCTCCTGCAACATCCCACACAAGACCAAATCCATTATACTTACTTTTACTTGTTCAGAAACTGCAGCTCACAATAAATTAAAGTGCCAGGAGCATTCCTCCCTGCTATATAAAAACCAGCTGTGGCAGGGTGGGCAGCAGCAGTATAAAAAGCTTCTTGCAGGGAAGTTGTCATTTTGCACTGTTACTCTGGGAGCCTGTGATGTAGGAAAAGAGGGGGTTGTACAGCAAAGGCATGCAGACCTGAGGCTTGCGTGGGTCTCAGCATAAAGGGGCAAAAGCTTTCCTGTGCCAAGGCCTACTGCCTGACTAAATGAGAGTATTTTTCACTCTTGGGGCATCCACAGGCATTAACAATGTTGCCCTGAGCTGCAGACCTGGGTTGGATGTGGCCTGGGCAGCCCTTCTTCCATCATGGAAGGTTATCCACTTCTGAGGTCAAAGTTTCTCTTTCTAACACAACAATGAGCCCTGGTAGAAAGTGCAGAGAACTCCAACCTCTGCCTAGACTACAGTATTCACGGCCTCTTACCAGCATTTTCCCCAGCCCAAATGGATGGCTTCTGGCAGGGAGAGATCTCTGTGCCTGGGGCCATAACCCAGCTGTCACATGGAAGAGTGCAGTGGACTTAAGCTGCTCTGGCCATTGGTGGTACAGGAACAATCCATTCCTTTTTGAGAAGCAGACACTCCGAGCCACCTTTGTGGCAGTCTTTGATTTGCAAATAAATAAGCTCAGGTTTGGTGCCAGAGGCTTTCCTTGTTCCCGCTTTCACTTGTCTGGGGTCAGTCCAAATTGCTGCTGAGCAATCCTGTTTCCCTCCATGCAGGCTTTGTCCAGCCTCTCCTGTGTTCCTCAGAGCACTGAGCTTTGTGTCGGCATGTGGCTGTTCCCTCAGGTAGAATGAGCCAAGGAGCACAAGCAGTGGGCTTGTTCTCCTGCCTGAAGGCCATTGCCTAGGACAGCAGTGCTCAGGCAGAGCCATGAGCAGGTCTGCCAGGCAGTGGGCAGGTGGGTGGATGCATGTTGAGGAACGTGTTGGGTGGTGTGTGCCAGGTACCTGCTCTGGGCCAGGTGCCACGGCTCAGCTGTGCTCTGCTCGGCCTCTGCCTAGGTCGCGTGGTGAACATCAGTAGCATGATGGGGCGGATGGGCAGCCCTGCCCGGTCACCCTACTGCATCACCAAGTTTGGCGTGGAAGCCTTCTCCGACTGCCTGCGCTACGAGATGCAGCCCCAGGGCGTCATGGTCAGCATCGTGGAGCCTGGCAACTTCATCGCCGGCACCAACCTGTACAGCCCCGAGCGCATCAAAGCCATCGCCGACAAAATGTGGGACGAGCTCCCGGAGATCGTGCGCAAGGACTACGGCCGGAAGTACTTTGACGAGCAGGTCAGCAAGATGGAGTCGTACTGCAACAGCGGCTCAAGGGACACCTCGCCGGTCATCGAGAGCGTGGCGCACGCGCTCACCGCCACGGCCCCCTACACCCGCTACCACCCCATGGATTACTACTGGTGGCTGCGCATGCAGATCATGACCCACATGCCCGCTGCCATCGCAGACCGGCTCTACGTCTACTGAGGCCTCACACACATAAGCTGTCCAGGTGGGAAATCTGTTTTAAAGAGAGCTTTGTACACACTTCCCATTAGTCCTTTTTAAATTTTTCTAACCTCATTTCAGAGTACTGTATTTTAGCTCTAAAGGGTTCATTTAAATGTCTGACATAACCTGAAAGGCAGTAATTTGCAAGGAATGTTTCATAGGCAGGAATATGTTATGTTTGTGCAGGGACAATGATTTTTTTGCTATTTATTTCATGTAACCCTTTCTTTTTTCACCTCAAATATGAAGCTATAATCATTATTTAAACTGCAATTGCTCTGAAGCGTTTTCAGAATAATTTCTTCTGATGGCCAAACACAATCTTCACAATTCCTGCCTAGGATGCAGCCTTCACACCATAAAACAGAATCCCTCCATGCTCTAATAGCAAACCACTGCTTCCTCATGACAAAGAATGTCCAACTGACTTTTCCAGGCCTGGTCACAGTAGCCCAAGGCAGAGTAGAGACTTCTTTAATTTAGGGATCAGAACTCAAAAAATGCTCAAGGTGCTGAAACTGAGCAACTGACCCCATCCCTTTCTTTCTTAGAATTATACTGATGAAACATTAGAGAAAAGGAACCAGTCTGCTTTTCTCACATGCTTTTTTGCAAAGGAGTTCAATGACCCAGGGACTCAACTTTGCAGACTTTCCCCATGGGAGTTTCTTATTCATATGAGCATTCCCATGACTGTGAGCAGCTTTACGCACAGGACTGCAGGTGTCAGGATTGGCCTGCAGTGACATTTGCCTTCTCTTCACCAGTATCTGAACATGAGCTCCAGAGTTAGCTTGGAGAGGAGTTTCACTTGAACTCCTGTGGTTTGTGAGGAACACTGTGGAGCAGATGGAGCAGAGAGGGTTATATAGTCACATCAGTGAATGCCCTTCTTGCCAGGGACCTCAGCTACAGCCAGGTATTTGAACAGCACCTTGCACAGAAGGGCCTTAACCCTGACCAGGCCTCCAATAATGGCAGCACAGGTGATGGTAACAATAACTTCCATTGAAGTAGTCACTGACCTGAAATACATGTACCATGACATAGATCTATCAGAACATCCATAACAATAAAGTTAACTTTAGGAGCAGTCTCATTTCCATGATGCTTGTTTACATATCTGAGAAACATTTGTTTTGTACTTTAAGAAAAGAAAAGGAAAAAAAAAAAAAAAGAGCCTTTCATGGGGAATTCAGGAAGAGTAGATTTTTTTAAGCTTGAAAGGCAAAAATAAAAAATAATTAATGACCATTGTTAGTGAAGTTGAAAAGATCTCATGTGCTCTAGTAACATACTGTGACATGATCAAATTCCTTTGGCTTAATAAATGTATACATGAATGGTAACAAAATTCAAAGGCTCCCTCTCTTTATTTTTCAAATATATAAGGTGAAGGCTCATATACTGTAGTGGTGAGGTTCATACCTGTTACACACACACATCATTCAGAGGCTTATTTCGAGTCTTGAGCCTTTCATGTATTGCAAGACTTTGTGGAGTACCACCTGTGTCCTGCATCTCGTGACAGAGATGCCTAACCCCTGGATTCTGTGTATTCACAGCTCTTAAACCTGCATTTGTAGTGGCCTCTTGCAGATTACAAAGGATTATTATGGATTATTCCTAAGGGATCAGGAAAGGAAACTGAGCTCTGAAGAGGGGAGGGTTGGGGCAGTGATTCAGCAGGGTAGCACACAACAGGTCACTGACAGATCCCAAATAAATTCCAGGGAGAGACTGGCAGGTTTCCAGACCTTTCTGATTTTCTCCAGAATCCCAGCAGTGGTAGCTACATCTTGAGTGCAGGGCATAATGCTTTGTTTTCCAATACAAGGACTCTTCTCTATGATAAAACGTGAGTATGAACTACCCAGCCAGGCACAAGGACTGAATTGCAAAGCAGAGCAAAGCACCTGGATAACACTGGCTGTTGCAGATGACACAGCAGAGAGAGAAAAGCCTTTACAAGGGAAGTTCTTGTAGTCTAAAATTTAGCTCTTAAGATGCTAAGTAGCATTAAAAAATCATGTAATTCCACCTGGGATGCTAGCTCTCAATTTTACTGCTGGGTTTTAATACAAACATCAGTGGAGTTAGATATGGAGGAAACTGAGTGCACAGCCAGGTTATCTCAGTTTAGCTCAGAGATCCCGGGACTAAACACAGCAGGTGTTCAACAGCACTGTGTTCATTCCCAGCCAGAAGGACAAAGCTGAGCAGGGATAACTGCACCTGCATTTACTTGGCATTTCTTCTGGAGGCTCCTGAACTCTCCCATGAGGTGGCCCCAGGGAGCTCTGGAGCTGTGCCACCGTGCCAGGGCTAGAGGAGATGTGACAGTCCTGCTGCCCTGCAGTGCAAGTCACAGGGAGCTGTGTGGTTTCATATGATGAGGACACAATGTCTGGGGTGCTTCTGTGCATCCACAACTGTTCCAACATTTCTGTGCAAGTTTTCCTGACTCTGGGAGAGTTTGGCAGCAGATTTGTGGTCAGGAGGGCAGCAAGCTGGCTAGTTCTGCTGGGATCTTGGCAATCCCCTGATTTCAGGGTTTGCCCTGAGAAGCGCATTAAAAGATAATCCCCTCTGGGTTGGCATGACTGTCCTTTTGACTCGGAGCACTTGAGGTCTGCCTGCATGGTGCCACTGCAGCTCCTGGAATAGCTTCAGCCCAAGTTTATTTGAAAACTGAAAAGAGCAAAAGAGGACTTGGCCAGGCACCCGGTCCTCTACTCTCAAGGCTGTCTCAGTGGCAGCTTCTGCTCCCTCAGGAGGAGCTGGGGAGCCTGGAGGGGTCAGTTTGTAGGGGTGCACACACCTGATCTCCAGTCTGGTCCCAGCTAGCTGGACGAAGGGCTCTCTCTTCCCAAATTTCTTGCAAGGCGAAGACCCTTGACGATGATGCAACAGATCTCACTGTGCAGTATCCCTTAGGCAACCTGGAGTTAAAAATAACTTTCTCTTGGGTGGTGGGAAGTAGCAGAGATGGAGTAATTTTAACTGCAGCCGTTACATCTTGTTCTGAACCTTAATGTGGAAATCATGAAGTCCTACCCACTTCAGAAGTCCTACCCACTTTTTGCTCCTGGTGATGAAGGTAGTGAGTACCAGCATTTAGTGACTCCTTACTGCCACCTTATCAGGACGAAGTGCAGGGATTTCCCAGTTAAACAGGAGATGATTTCACAGCCAGGAATTCACACACCTTCAGGAGATCTGCTCCCAGGCCCATGTCTCAGCTCCCACATCCTTGCAGAGGTCTGGCCCAGGCTCCCTCTTGAGTCTCAGCCTGTGGGTCTGGCTGAAACTTACCCTGGAGCGGCAGTTTGGAAACAGGACTGCTTTGGAAACAGAAAAGAGGAAAGCACCACTCATGTTCAGGCATAGTTAAACAGCAGAGCACAGGATGTCTTCCCCAATTTAATTAAATATAACAATTATATGGGACCTCAACTAAACATAAAAGTGGCTCAGTTGCTGAGCTACACAGTCAAATCCCTGTCTGTTCTGATATTGGGCTGAAGCCAAGGGGGCCTTGCTTCAAGGTGCATGTGCAGCTGCTGGCACTTTGAGGCAGGAAACAGGAGATGCCAAGGCCAGGAGCAGCCTGTGCAGCTGTCACATGGATGGCCACCCCTCGCTTATCATCAGCCATCACCTGAGCAGCACGACCCTCTCTGGTGGTGGGTGGAAGGGGTGCTGTGAGGATGGCCCAATGCTGGCTGTCAGATGGGGCAGCACATCTCCACTCTGTCAGCTGTAGGGATGGACTGCCTGGAGCAGGCTCAGCACTGCCCCTGCCAGCAGTGAGGATGCTGATGGCAAACACAGGGATGCCAGCTTGGCCTGTGTTTCTGGGGACCTCCACCCCCACCATGCAGAGAGGGACATGCAGTGGCACAGATGCCATCCTGCAGCTCTCCTGCAACCAGTGAAGGACAGTGGACGTGGTTGCCTACCATTTTCTACCTTCCAAAGGTAGGTAGGACCTCAGGGCTGCTTGAAAACCACAAATCAGGCTGTTCTTCCATAGGCAGCAGGCAGCTCCCTGCAGTCTGTGGGGAGCATAGGGGTGATGAGTCTGGCTAAGGTGTAGGTTGTTATCTTAAAATAATTTTTGCTAAAACAGTGTTTTTGTTTGTGGTTATTTGAAGACGCCTTTTTTGTCAGCATCTGTCCCAGATTACATATGAGTATTTCTGACTTTCTGGGGCTCTGCCACCATGATGAACTGGAAGAGGGAGTGCACCTGGCTACAGCCTCCTCCAGTCTTACTCTCCCTCCCTTCCCTAGCACAAGGTTGTGCAATTATTTGTGTAATGTGGGACACCTTCAGCAGAAGAGCTTGGGAGACCTGTGTCACCACCCACACAAGTGCTGGGGAAACAGAGCTCTCCCAAAGCAGGGGTGCCCTGGTTTCTCAGCCAAGCAGCAAGCAGGTCAGCCCACCCACAGACCAGTTGGGATCTGTGGTGCTAAGGAGCTGTGCCCTGGGAATTGCAGCCTCCCTGCAGCCACCCCAGACAAGTGCAGGCCCCACCAGGAACTTTGGCCATCCTCCCTTTGCTTGTCTGACAGGCTCCAATGTGCTGGTCCCTGGGGTGGTTGTTCCCCTCACTGCTTACTTCTCCATCAGCAAATGGGGCACTGAAGAGAGGGCTTGTCTTTCCCAGCAATCTAGTCCCATGAGTTTAGTCTTTTATGTCCAAGGAGGACATAGAAAGCTAAAATCCCCCTCCTGATCTTGTGTGGGCGTTCATCCTTGAGCTTTATTTTCCAGCCAGAGTTGCAAGTTGGGAAGCAACCGCAGCCTTCTCGCCTCCTCTCCAAATACCCACACACCAAAACCCCCAGAAAGCTCCTTGCTGGTGCTGGGGGTGAAAGTGTAAATGTTCCCATCCTTGTTTCTTCCCCTGCTGTGAATGTCAGAGCAGTAGCCTAAAAATGCAGTAATATCCACAGCGATCACTGGTGGTGGTATTTCTGACTTTGCCTGGAGCAGGATGAACCATAAATCTTGTGAGATAACATATTGCCACAGAGACTTCCAGCCAGTTTTTCCAGCCATAGGAGTCTTAATGCTGCCCGCCCACCCAGAGCTGGGCATTACTAGCACAGAAAGCAGCAGCTTTCTGTCATATCCATGAAAACAGAGTGAGTATTTGGTGCTTCCCCTATCTGAGATCTTGGAGGTATTGTGGGAAACTTTACCGAGATCCAATCTACCACACAGTGAAACTGGGGTATTTGTTGTCATGAGACTGAAAGTGTGACTGGTCTGAAGGAGAGACCAGAAAAATTATAGATTGGTTATGCAAAACTTTGGGTTATTCTTGATGTCTCACCACTGAATCTGCACTGAGTTTAAAACCAAAGATCTTATTCTTTTATGGGTAATCTGGACCTTGCCAGTGCCAGCTGCAGTTTCCCACCCTGAGCATTGCTCAGGATCCCACTTCAGCCTTATCTACAGCTGTGCATTCCATCTGGAGTGGGGATGGAGGATGCTGGTCTTCAGCTCCACTGGGCTGGATTCATCCCTGTGATGCCTGCCTGATGCTTGTCTCCAATGCACAGGGCCCATGATCCTGCTCAGGGCAAGAGCAGCACTCTGGGACAAGGGGTGGTCTGCTCTGATGGGGATGCTCCTGGCACACTGTCACTGCTCACACTCAGCCTGCTGTGCTTGGCCATGGTCCCAGCGGTGCCAGCAGGTCAGCACCTCCCTCTTTGTCCTGCCTCTGCTTCTTGACCCTCCTGCTGCTCTTCCCTGTGGAGAGGTCCCTGCTGTTCACCTGTAGCCTGTGGATGTGGCTGCAGTGGATGTGCCTTTGGCCAGGTGCTGGCACACAGCAGAGGGTGCTGGATCGGCAGCAGAGGGAGATGCTTTCCCCTGGCTGGCAGTGCTTTCCCTGAAGATCCTCTGGATGCCACCCTGCTCCTTGCCTCTCCAAGCCTGCTCTGTGGGGATCAGCTGTGCTTGGCAGAAACCTTTGCAGATGAGGGAATCACCTTCCACCTCATGGAGACAAGGATTTGCATTCCCTTTGCTGATGTTTTGGGGCAGCCCTACCTCTCTGTGTTGTTATCAGGAGTTTCCTGTAGCACTGAGTCCCTCAGCAAAGAGCTGACTTGTTTGGAGCAGCACTTCCCACAAGGAACACCACTAGCCTGCCTGGAAACCTGGCTTCTCCACAGGAGAGAGGGGGCAAAACCCCAGCACAACCCAGCCCAGCCCGGCTTGGATTGATACTTACCTGGACAGCATTCCTAGGGATGCAACCCTTCCTCCTCATCCTTCGAGTCCTGAGCTCTTTCCATGTTTCTCAGCTCCTGGGTGATCCCTTGGGC